ATAACCTACTCCACTAACCACACAAACTTCAAATCCGCCGTTATCACCATCCTTAAGCTTCAACAAATCAAACCCGGTAATTACTTCATAACCATCGAACCATCCAGCAGAACCCTTTCTCAAACCAAAAGCAGAGATTCGAAACAGAATGGAAAGAAGAACAATGACGTGAATCAGTTCAAACAACCCACATCAAGCTTCTTCACCGTTACCCAGATCGAAACCTTTCAAACCGTGGAAACCCATTTCAGAAACTCAACCCGTTTCTCCATTTACAGCAATCTCACTCATCATCGAAAATACCCAGAAACGAAAACCCATTTTTCCAATCTGTTTTCTTCTCTCTAGAAACCCATTGTCCAGATACTCAACTTAACTCAAACCTTCCGTCGAACCTTCGTCGTAAATCACCTCCGATCCCGACTCGCGAAATCACCCCAACGGATCCCTTCTCTTCTTCGAAGCAAAACACCTTCAATTAACTCATTTCACACATCCACCATGTTCTTTAATTCGTTAATCCAACAGAAACGAATTGGAGAGAGATGTTGGAGTTTGATTTTGAAAGAGAGGTCAGAGAAAGGGTAGATTTGAACGAGATGCAAGAAGGAAAGGGCTTCTGTCTTTTTCTTTGTTTTTTATTTTTGTTTATTTTATTTTTATTCTGATTTGAGCCTAACACATAGACCGTGTGGTATGGATCATCACCGGCCCCCTGGTTCATCTTACCCCCTCCCCTTTTTTTCCTTTTTTTTAAATATTATTTTCAAAAAATATGTTAGTATGTTGTTTTTTAAAACCATTTTCAAATCTGTTAATATATTATATTACTTTTTAAGAGCAGTTTTTTTTATTCATGTATATATTATTATTATTATTATTATTATTATGTAAATATACTATTGTTTTATTATACATTATATTATTTATAGTTTATATATTAGTTCTATTATATTTTATATTTAAAATTTTATTATATTTTCTTTAGAGTTTATATTTTGTATATTTTTTTTTTTCTTTTAGAAATTTGTATATTATTTTCTTTTAGAAGTTTTACATTTTATTTTTTAGAAGTTGGATTCCACTTCTCTTTTGTTATTGGACATTTTTTGCCTTTTTGGTCGATGACGAGACCTCCGTAATTCATTACCAGTCAAATTATTGATGAGTAATGTTGGATCTGAGACCACCTCTTTTTCTCTCTTCATTACTTGTCCCGACTCGATTCAAAACTTTGTCAAACAATTTTCAAAATCAAATTATCTTTGTATTGAATTAAAAAGATGGGATTAAGTGTAGACTTTCTTCCTCTCCGAGTGTTGGGATGCCCACTGTAGTGAGGGTGGTTTCGACACTCGTCTTTCAATACGAAGACGCTTCTAAACTTTTCCTCCTAAAACCTCGGTCCCGAACCGAGCACACTTTCAATAATAAATTGATTTCTCTTTGTATCGAATTAAAGGGAGAAGATTGGGTGTAGACCTCTTCTTCTCCGAGTGATGGGATGCCCACTGTAGTGAGGGTGGTCTCGACACTCGTCTTTCGATACGAAGACGCGACTTCTTCCATCACCTCTCGCTTTCACAACTTCCTTTCACAATTTTCACACCTAAGACCTCGGTCCTGTACCGAGTGTATTTTCAAATCTTTTCACAACCAAAACTTGAATGGTCGTGGAGTGGTTAGGCGTAGGCCTTCTCCTATCCCGAGTGCTGACGTTTACCGTAGGGTTCTCTGTCGCAAAGCACTTACCATTCAAAACCAAAATCATCATTAATAAGAGAACGAAGTTCTCTTTGCATTGAATTAAAGAGAGAGGATTAAGTGTAGTCTTTCTTCCTCTCCGAGCGTTGGGATTCCCACTGTAGTGAGGGTGGTTTCGACGCTCGTCTTTCAATACAAAGACGCCTTGTTTGCCACACCTTTCATAACAAAAACTTTGAGATAAAGAATTGGGTACTGCCCGTAGGGGTTACTATCCGAGGACCTGTCTCGCCCCCTAAAAAACAATCCAATCAATCAAACATGACTTCTTGCCTCGCGTGGCGAAAACTAATCAATCTTTCAAACAGGATATGTTACGTCCGTTCTACCGCAAACAGGTAACGCCTAAGTCTCCAACGAGCGAGCAGCGAAACACCTAACTGCTAGAATGCGCACGATAGCATCATCCATAAAAAAAACATCAACAAACCGTAGGCCGAACTACGGCTGCTCTGATTTCTCATGCCAGATGAGAATACGTAGGCACAAGACGGCGATGTCTTGGCGAGCACTTTTCCCCCCAATATCTGTAGTTCCCCGAACTACGTCGACTCTGACTTTCTCACATCTATTGAGAATACGTAGGCATAGGACTGCGAAGTCCTACCGAGTCTGTTCTTTCTCTTTTCTTCCCCGTTCTCTCTTTCCTCCTAACTTTCTTGTTTCTAACCCTTCTTTTACCCAGTGGAACACTTCTTATAGCATAATATTTAAGCAAATATAATCACACATCGACAAACAAAAGGTTCCCATCGAGTACGATGGATGCAAGGGGTGCTAATACCTTCCCCTTGCATAACCGGCTTCCGAACCCGTTCATGGTTGCGAGACCATCTTATCCATTTCTTTCCTAAGGTTTTCTCGATATTTTCCTTTCCCCTCATGGGATAAATAAAGTTCGGTGGCGACTCTTCTGTCCTATCTTTTTCGCCTCCCCGTCGTTGCGCGATGCATTTTTTCGAGTAGCGGCACCAACCACTGAAGAAAAATATATTGCCTTCACTGAAGCTGTGAAAGAATCATTGTGGCTTGAAGGTTTTTCAAAGGAGCTGAAACTTCAAGGTCGAAGTATCACTGTTAAATGTGATAGTCAAAGTGCAATACACCTGCCGAAGAAATCAACCTATCATGAGCGAACAAAGCACATCGATGTGAGGTTGCATTTCATCACAAAGATAATCGAGTGTGGTGAAGTCCAGGTGCTGAAGGTTTTGATTGATGACAACGCTGCTGATATGATCACCAAGGCGTTGCCAAGTTGCATGTTTTTCCACTGTATGCAGCTGATAAAGTTGCATGATAAAAGCTAGTTTATTCTATGTTGTTGTAGAGTTAGATCCAAGATGGAGATTTGTGAGATTTTGGGTCGAACTCTAACTCTGTCGAGGAATAGCTTTCATGTGTTTTGACAGGAGACGAGCATGAAGTCGAAGTTGGGTCACATGTTGATGTCGAAGGGTTATATATTGTAGTCAAAGCTAGTTCTAGTATGTAATACCGAAATATACTATTGACTTATTATGTCGAATTGAGCCTTGTGTTAAGGATCCAATTATTTAGTTAGCTTGAGTTGCAAGTTATCTAGTTAGTGTATATATATATATATATATATATATATATATATATATATATATATATATATATATATATATATATATATATATATATATATATATATATATATATATATATATATATATATATATATATATATATATATATATATATATATATATATATATATATATATATATATGCTAAAACACTCAGTTTGTTGAGTGTGGTCAGATTGTGTTATTCACTTGTAATCTTTGGTAATATTGAGAAAGTGAAAAGTATAACAATTTGCCATAATCCTTCTTCTTCTTTCTTCTTTATCATTTCTTTTTTCTCTCTTTGTTCTAACCGTTTTCATTGTTCATCCAAGAACTCCGTTTCTCAATCTTTATTTGTTAAGGTATCGTTTGTGATCACGACAATATATATATTATAAAATTAATATTAATATTTTTTTATAAGTTTAAAATCTAATAAAAAAATTAACCTTACATTGAAACACGTATGACATATCATTTATAATCATAGAAAAAACCTACTAATGTATTAAAATCATTTTTATTTTGTACCAATTTTTTTTCATAAATGGTGTAAAAAAAGATCTTCACATAAATGTGATTCACTGTAAAAATAGAAAACTTAAAATTAGTGAAAATGATATTTAAATTTTTAACATTCTGACAGAAAAGACTCTTGCATTACCTGTCTCTTCCGTTCTCTTTTTTCTATCTACATTTGAAGAGATCCCTTATCGGCTATGTGAGTATATTTTTCCTTATGGATTTCGTTGATTGTAGTTTTATCAATTTGTTATATTATACTAATGTACATGTTTTGTAGTTTAGTTAATTTGTTTGTTTCTTTATATGTTAATACTTTTTATGTCTATAATACATGCGTGAATTTGTTTTGGTCGTTAGAGCATTTAATCGAGATTTAGAGAGGGCACTAAAAATCTTGGGGACAACCCTATATATGTGTGCGCAAGAGAGAGGAAGTACATTGAAGAGTAAAAATATGTTTTTGTTAAAATAATAAAAATATAATTAAAATGAAAAAATTACAAGCTAAAAGTTATAAATTTTAAATCTATTTCAAGTAGTTTTTGAAAGAAAAGAAAAGTTAAAAATTAGTTAAAAAATTAAAAACTAAAAGACAGTGAGTTGAAAAATTAAAAATTATAAAAATAAATAAATAAATATTGATTTTATCAAATAGACTGTAAGATTGAAATGTGAGTAGTTGGATGTTGTGTATTGAATTTAGTATAATTTATGAAAGGTGATGCAGCAAGTGATTTTGGAAAGAAAAATTAGGATTAGGGTTAGACTAACTTAATAAGATTTATAAATAAGAAATATAAAAAAAATAATTCATAGTATATGATACAGAAAGAAAGAAATTGAAGATTGTAATTAAAATTTAACAAAACCGAACAACACTTACCTTTTATTGCTTGAATTTAAAAAAATGCAAATGACAAAATGCAGAGGAACCATTAGTAAGATATATTCGAATAACAAATATATTTATATGTCAAAGAACATAGCCAGTATTCACTGTTGTCATTTTTCCCTTTAAATCTAAGTATCATACTTTGTTATCTTCTCCGTCGTAGTTTCATTCACTTGCTCGCCGGACGGACAATAACGGTTCTATCACAGTTTGGAACTTCCAATATGCTTACAGGTTTCTCTTTTTACCCATTAGTACTCGTATCTCTTTTTGCCTGGTAGTGTACTCATGCATCCTATCTGTTTGATGAATTGCCTAGCTGACATGATTTTGTAATACTCATTATTTATTTTCAAAAATAATTGTACTTTTGGTTGAATTACGACTATGTAATACTAGAAGCCGTGATACTAGAAATTGATCTTTCTGCCCCCAATCGAGTTACACTTCACTAAGATAGCCATTGAGTTTATACTGTATACACATAATTCTGAGGAACTGCATTTTCTTGTGACGAAGAAGTTTGTAACCTTCTGATTGTAGCTGATGCTTGACTTCCATGGTAAGAAATTGGATTCACTGCATTTGAGTGATAATGAGCTTGAGGAACGCATAGGTTCAGCCTCTATTGAGGACCTGAAGCTCTAATACCATAAAGATATCGAAACCAAGAGAAGAAGAGAGAATTTGTGATAAACCCTACAGAACAGAGTGAGATATACAGTTTACGCGCCCACTGATATAATATACATTCAGCAAGCTCGCAACAGATTCAAAACAGAAGCTAATTTCTAACTAAGACTTTTCTAACATAGAGCTAACCAGCTCTTAAAGCATTAACTAATCTCTTTGCATGTCCAAAGGTCATGTAGTTACTCAATATTTTAATGTTATTATTATTGGTGACCATGAATTTTTTATGCACTCTAATTTTCGATGTATATTATTTACTCTTGTGTGACCTTGCAAGATATATTTTCTTTTTGTACAGGTTCAACCACTAGGAGTTTCTTGGAACTTAAAGCTGCGAACTTCCCCAAAAGACCAGTTCTAGGTAGTCTAGCACTCTAGTCTTTATTATTGAGCATATTGTCTTTCTTGTGGTATATGTCTCAATTTTCTGGAAATCAAAGTTGTGTGTATTCCTCAATTGGTTTCATGTTTTTGCTTGTATTATTTGAATGCTTCATGGATCAAAGTTGCGTGTACTCCTCAATTAGTTTCATGTTTTTGCTTGTATTATTTGAATGCTTCATGGATCAAAGTCATAATCATAAATGAGCCACTTTTTAAATGAAATCTTCATGTAGGGTTAAAAGGTAACAAGCTTCAAATTTCTAAGTGCAAGGTTCTGTCTGAAACATTTGAATATAATTTCTATAGGGTTCAGAGGAAATAGGCTTCAAATTTCTGGTGCAAGATTCTGTCTGAAGAACAAAGTTTCCTGCAAACTTACTGAGTTAAGAAATGATTTGAGCTCATCAAAGGAACTTGAAAAGATTAAACCCTTGGTTAAGATGTGCGGCATTACATCAGCTAAAGATGCTGCAATGGCGGCCGAAGCTGGTGCAAACTTTATTGGAATGATCGTGTGGCCAAACTCAAAACGTTCTGTTTCACTTTCTGTTGCAAAGGAGATATCAAAAGTTGCAAGAGATTATGGGGCAGAGCCAGTTGGAGTATTTGTGGATGATGATGCAGAAACAATACTAAGAGCTTCCGCTGCATCAAATCTTGAGTTTGTGCAGGTACATTTTTACCCGACTTTTTTGCGTGTTCGACGACAGTCAAATGCTTGGATACATTCAAATCTTGAGTTTGGACAATGCAGCTTCATGGATCTGGTTCGCGGGCAGCTTTCTCATCTTTAATTCAGGAAAATCGGGTAATTTATGTTCTCCATGCAAATGGGGATGGGAGTCTTTTAAACACAATTCCTGATGAAGAGGGTTCTCTTGTTGATTGGGTTCTGGTAGATAGTACAAAGGGTGGCAGGTAATGACATAGGTCTTGTTGTAAGAGCTATTGCTTGTCAAAAAAACTAATTTTTCAGCATAATAGTGTTTTTAACTCATTGAGACGTGTTTGCAGTGGCGAAGCATTCGATTGGGCCCAGTTTAAATTACCAAAAATTAGAAGCAAATATGGTTGGCTATTAGCAGGAGGAATCAATCCTCAGAACGTCGGTGAGGCTCTGTCTAGTCTCAAACCCCAAGGGGTGGATGTCAGTAGCGGCATATGTGCATCAGATGGCATCCAGAAGGATCAATCAAGAATAACTTCCTTCATGGATGCAGTACATTCTGTTCAGTATTGAGTTGCCTTAAATTATTACTTAAATCATTACGAACCTCAAGACAAGGTGATTTTGTAATTTCAAAATATACCCATTTTGTTATTAAGTCCATTTGTATCTTCATTTTGTAATGCTGGGTGATATATGGATAGAAACTTTACTTACAAATTTAAATAAAAAGTTTGATGATGATTTGGTAGTGATATGACAGCTGGCTGGACACTGGCGCAAAAAAAATAGAACCTACTTTAGTTTTTTGCTATTCCTTTTCCTTCCGTTTTTGATGGTGAGATTGCCAGATTTACAGTCAACCACCATTGTTTTGACAAAAGTTACACTTTTAATGCATATTTGAAATCACGGTGAGTTTAACAGAATCATGGTGATACGCCATGATTTTCCAAAAGCTACATGAATTTTGGTATCACAGATTTTGTTGAATATGACTTGGATGCTTTTATCGGTTTGCCTTTGAAACTATACAGAGCTCCTTATACGTATTATGCTTTAATGTCTAGTATCTCTTGAAGCTTGCTACTTTCTTTAACTTTATCTTCTATAGTTATTGCCTTGACTTGGGAAAAAAAGCATGTAACCACCATCCAACTAACACCCAATGGAAGTGAAGTTGACAAGTACATATGATAATGAATCAAGAGGTTGGTGTACTGAATACACTTAAAAAATCACAAGTTATACCTTAGCTTTTACTTTTCTCCAACATAAAGATACTAATAATATGATATTTGCTTTACAAAAGCATTCAATTGCTAATCAATTAATTAGCCTTAATAATTTTGATTTAGGTTTGGCCCATGTTATGTCAAAACAACTAGTTGAATGACTGAAGAATTATATGATAGTTCAATAGTTCCAAAAGAAGCTTCATCTATAAACCTTAAATGGTGACACCAAGTCACCAACTGAAAGATGAAATATCCACAATCGTAATGAGTTGGATTAAGCAAATGGATCCAATTGATTTCTGCATTGTATCTGCGTATAAAGATTCACCTAATAACAACTTCAATTGTTACCACAACAACAATTTGCAATCATGTACAAAAAGTATGAATACTTCAATTTTCTTTTTTCTCATCTTAAGTGATTTTGAGAAGTTGATATGTGTAACTCTATCTCATCGTAATTTTCACCATGATTTTTAAGATTTTCAAAGTGGACAAAACGATGTGTAGTTTTTGTTGTTCAAAAATATACTTTCTATTTAAAATTTTACATATAGTATATGCTTTTTAGAAATTTTGGATGAGGAAAGTTACTCCTAAAACATTGACTTTCAAACTGAATGAATCTAAAGACAACTACATTGTGTCTCCGGCCACACAAAAAAACAACGTTGTTTGTGTCTACCAAATAGCCTCAACCCACCACATCATGCACCCTTTCCACTTACTCAGACTAAGACCAACTCTAAAATGAAGACTTTGAGATCACTCCTCTGCATCCCTCACTCTCACGTATTGTCTCAAAAAGTACACACATAGAAACCTAGGTTCCCTCCATTCAGGGACATCATGCTGTCCCCATATTCCTAACCGTTTAATCTTGATCCAACGATCTATATTCAATCTTAGGAAATAGGCATTAAAAAATAGATAACCAAAGTAACGTGGTAGTGTGAGGAACACAACTCTCCTTCACCGACACCATATTCTCTCATAGTATTTTCTTCAACCATTTCACCAAACCTCAATTAAACAAAAATAGCTTAATAGTACTAAGTTTCATTTATCTATAAATACAAAATCTCTTTCTTTCTGCCTCTTAATTTCGTTCATTTCTTTCCCTATATTTTTTACACCCTCGTTTCATAACTCAAATAAAAGCTTTCTGTTATTCACTCTCTCTCCCATGAAAAATCTTTTCTACTCAGAAACTGTAGCAATGAAAGGCACAAAGAACAATAGCATTTTCATTTTCTTTCTCGTCTTCTCCTTATTCCTCCTATTTGGAGTCTTCATGCACAACCAAGACGCCAAGTCAATAGCACAGTTCTCATTCCCAAGGCTCAAATTCAAAGCTCAAGAAATCCAAGAAGAGAAAACTGAACAAGACAATTCTCTTCAAAGGAATATCAAGAAACTAGACAATGATGTAAGGATAAAAGACTCAAAGGAAACCCAAGAACCAGTTGATTTGATAGCCCTTGTGTTAAAGAAGAAAAATGATAAACAGAAGATTGCATTGCCTCTAGAAGATTGTGACTTGTTTACAGGAAAATGGGTTTTTGATAACGTGAAACATCCTTTATACAAAGAAGAACAATGTGGTTTTCTTACTTCACAAGTTACCTGTTTGAAGAACGGAAGGCGCGATTCTCTCTATCAAAATTGGAGATGGAAGCCTAGAGATTGTTCTTTACCAATGTAAGCACTTTCTTGTTTTAACTTAATTGATTTGATAGTGTTATAATTGATTAAATTTTGTACAAACTTGTTGTTTATTAAGGTTCAAACCAAGAGTTCTGCTAGAGAAACTTAGAGGGAAGAGGCTTATGTTTGTTGGAGACTCATTGAATCGAAACCAATGGGAATCAATGATTTGTTTGGTTCAATCTGTAATTCCTCAAGGCCAAAAAAGGTTGAACTTATATGGTGCTCTTTCTGTCTTCACAATCGAGGTTTGTTTTCTTTTTCTCTAGGTGACCAAGATTTAATCAATCAGTTGAACCGTTCGGTTATGTTCTATTTTTGTAAACTATAACTAGCTGATTATGTTTGTGTGTGTGTGCGCGCAGGATTACAATGCAACAGTGGAATTCTACTGGTCACCATTCCTTGTAGAGTCGAATTCAGATGATCCAACGGCGCACGCTATATTCGACCGTATTATCATGCCTGAATCGATTGAAAAACACGGTGTGCATTGGAAGAATGTGGACTACCTTATTTTTAACACCTACATATGGTGGATGAACACTGGCACCATGAAAGTCCTGTAAGCAAACACCGCGTTACATTATACTATATTTTGATTAAATTCATGAAAGTTATAATTTGAATGTTTCTCGTGTTTAAGGCGAGGCTCATTCGATGAAGGAGCCACGGAGTACGATGAAGTTCCTCGAACAAAAGCATATAAGAGAGTCCTTAAGACATGGTCAAGCTATGTAGATAACAACATTGATCCAAATCGCACCAAAGTTTTCTTCAACAGCATGTCTCCTCTTCATATCAAGTAAAATCTAAATCATAATCCTAATCGCTAGCACGAACAGATCAAGAATAATATGAATGCTAGCATTTATAAACTCTTATGATTTTTTCAGGAGTGAAGATTGGAACAATCCTAATGGAATAAAATGCGCCAAGGAAACTACACCAATTCTCAACATGTCCACTACATTACAAGTTGGAACTGATCGTCGTCTTTTCGTCATTGCCAAAAACATCATAAAATCGACGAAGGTGAAAGTGGATTTCCTAAACATCACCACTTTGTCTGAGTTCAGAAAAGATGCACATACATCGGTTTACACGATACGTCAAGGAAAGTTGTTGACTCGAGAAGAACAAGCCGATCCTGCTACTTATGCAGATTGTATTCATTGGTGTTTGCCAGGATTACCTGATACATGGAATGAGTTGCTTTATGCGCGTATCATTTCGGTTTCTTGACCAACAAGCAATGATGTTTAGATATATTCCTGAGTCCTGACCCTTTTTTTGTTACATAAGTTTTCCCTTTATTGTCTTAGCTTTTGTTAGTTTTGTCTATGTGATACTTGTAACGTTTTCTTTGGAATTTTGTTATAGTTTTCGATTCTTGCTAGATGAACTTGTAAACTGAGGAATCAATTGAATTCAATTGTACAGTGAATGAATAATGCCTCAAAAAGAAAAAAGATGAATTCTTTGTTACACTGCAGTTTTATTGGATATCCAGGTTATGTATTAAATTGTTTTCCTTTTAGTTTCTTTTGCGAACACATAATTTTGAGGGTATTTTGTATCAAAATATTACTTTTTCTAATCGATGATGTCATTTTGTTATATTCCAACTACATATTTATTCAATTTGATCTTAATTTATTAGGTGTGGTGCATTTTATAGTGTCATTTGGTTCCATTTCATAGTGTTCATTTTCAGTATTGAGTTTCGCATAGGTTCGATTTTGTTTTTGATGTAGTGATGTTTGTTGTTTCAGGTTTTCTCTTTCATTTATCTTTTATGATTCATCCAATCTTCTTCATTTGTCAAATGTGTTATTTTACTACTTCTTCTTCACCCATTTACTAACATAGCAAGAATATCAAGTTTGATCTCTTGGTTTCTAACCTCTTTGTCGTCAACAACAACAAATAATTTGTAGGTAAAATAGAAAGATAAAGTTATGTGAGAAAACAAACGAATTGGGAAAGTTAGAGTTTTGATTTTATTGATGTTGATAATGAAAAGAGGATAATTTGTGTTTAGAGTTTTTAGAAGTGAAATTGAGTTTGATGATTTTGAGTGGTGATAGATGATTTTTTGGATTCTGTAATGGATTTGTTGAAATTTTAATGTTGCAATTTTTGTTTTTAATTTTTTAAATATATATAATGTTAACATGTTTTATCCATATGTTCAATTTTATAAGCAAATGTTTTACCCACATGTTTTGGTCTCTCTATTGTAGGAGGTTGTGGAACACTTGGTTGAAATATATTATCAATGATTTGATGGTCTCTGGTTTGTAAAATTTATTTATAAAACTTGCATTTTGCTTTCATTAATATGTACTTTTTTTTGGGTGGTGAGAGCATAAGTTCTTATAATTTCATGTAGTTTCCATTAGTTTCATATTAGGACGATGAGATTAATAATAGGCCACAAGGATGAGTGAGTTTAATGAATATCATCACTTTTCATTTTAGTTATAGATTTTTGAGTGCTTTTTGCATATTGAGTTTGACTTTAATTTTGATTTTGAGAGGCCAATTGATTTACCACATGTGCACATTATTAGTTTGTTGTTATGAATTTTTTTTAATTGTTTTTGGTTTGTTGTTATGAATTTT